ATATATCAGAAAGAAAGGTATTGTTCTTAACTCTTTCACTCTGTAAAATTATATACTTCTATAAATACGATAATACCTAACAGTACTTTTATAATATGAAAACATTACCCAGAAAAATAAAATAAAAATGTTAAGAAGTCTATTCTCGGCTCACTTAGTACCTAAGAAGAAGAGCATACTTCAATATTTATCGTAGTCACTGGAATCTCTAACTTAAGTCTTTTATGTTATCCTTATAGGAAATATGATGAGAGATATACGTTCATTGTAAAAGAGATAATAAAGAAGAATATTTACATTTTTATGTAAAATTTCTCGCACATACTCTTAGAGTAAGAAAAAAATAGGACTCTTTCAACATATAACGCGATCTCTGAAGCCTTATATCGTCTGCCTATTTTGAGCATCTTCTCATCTGTAAGCGCCAACTATAATATATTTCTACATATTGCGAAATGGTGGAAGCCACAAGTTATATGTGATTATGCACATATACCATTCACTGTTCCAGAAATGTGTAAAGTATGTATAGAGGGGAACCTTCCATAATCGTGTTATCTCTAATCAGAATTGTCAGAGAAGTTCCGTACGATATATTCTCACTACACAGATTCCCATCTTTTTAGTAATTAGCCTCCCTTATTTTTACTTTTTCCCTTGAGTAGTGATACTGTTTTTACCATATGGTTTTGAAAACACTTCGATATCGTTATTCATGTGTCTCTTCCTATGTGTTTGCAAATTCTATATGTTTCAAATAAATATGAGAACATTGGAAAACCATTATAAGATTGCAATATTTCATTACTTTTGCATCCAGAAGGAATGCATAAGAAAATATAAATTAGATAATGCAAGAGAAGCGATGAAACGCTAATCACCATAAGAAAACAGTCTTATAACAATAATAAAAATTATGCGAAGAATTCTTTCTATACACATATGCAACGATATGTATAGAATTATGAAAATCGATATTTCTTTTAAATTTTGAAGCCGTCTATTACAGGTTAAGTGCTGCAGATATTACACCACAAATGTGACAATATCTATTTAGATCCATTACAACGGAAAACATAAGGAATAAATTTGTTCAATAAACAGTTACATTAAATCAAATAATTCAAAGTTTAAATAATGCATAGCAATATATTAGGATCTTCAGAAATCCTCTTAAGGATATTCTCTGCTATTTCTGTTAATTACTTCTTTCTTCTAGTTGATATATGATGATGAACAGTCCATACACAAGATTTGTTGCATATAGACCCAAATTATATCTTCACCTACGCACCATTTATCACAAAATAAGAATTTGCACATAAAGAAGGGTTCACAATGGTGCTCCGATGAATAGAGGCGCAAATTGATGGAATCCGACGCATAAAAAATTTGTTTGTACTATTCACATAATATTATTTGACCACTTCCCTATTCCATCAGTTGATAATACATTCACGTAGGCGTACTATAATCATAAGTGACAATACGTCGCTTAAAATATCGTTAGGTCTCATAGAGTTCGATCAACTCAAGAACCTAGTGTCATGCGTTACAGCACACTATAGGATTCTATAAATAATCATAATACAAGAGATATCAAGGAACATATTCAGATGTGTAGATCCTATATATTATTGGGTGGATCAGATCATACAATATTGATGTAACAACTCCACAACTAAATGAACTCTGTGAGAAAGTGTACTACATCGCGAACACTACGCAAATAATG